GTATAACTCCACTCCAGGGGAGCAACTAACAGAATTGTAGGTGAAATATATATATTATAATAATAGAGGGGGAAGGGGAAAAGGGGAGCTCATATTAAAGAGTTCAAAAACGAAAATGTTTTGAAGCTGATTGTTGTAGCAATTGTAAAATTATGCTTGAACTATTTGAACAACAACAATGGCTACGTGCTTATTAAGTAAGGTAGCAGGTACAAAATGCCAAGGATACAGTTCTTTTGACCACAGCACCTCTTCTTAGCTATGGTGATAGGCAGCTCTCTCAGCAATTCTGTGCCTGGCCTCTGCCCTGCTCAGGTAAGTATTACAAAGATACTTTAGGGTTGACAAATGCCAAGTGGGCACCCCACTCTGTAAGCCAGCCTCCTGCTGGAAGGCCCTCAGCTTTCTTCATTCAGCGGGCCAGCAAGCCTGTTTTTCTGTCTCTTGATCTCAATGTTACTCGTCTGCCATCTTGGGCTTGCTTCACTCCTAGTTCTTCTTTCTTGTTTCCTCATTGTTCCTGTTTCTGAAATGGCTCACTTTGTACGCAGAGGAATGGCTAACCTGTCCAATTCCTTCTATTAGAGTTTCCTACACCCTTTTGCATGGCCTCACTCAATCACTTGGAGGGAGTTACAATGATTATGGATAGCAGAGCTGTGGTTCGTGAGCAGCAAACAAAGGTGCAACTCATTGTGTCTCCATGTCTGGAGGGAAGAAGAGTGAAGTAAATAGAAAGCACATGGAAACAATTATTTGATGCACATGAACACCTGCGTCCAGGATTCTGAGACCAGAATAACTGGATGATTCTGGCCCCTTTCACCAACTGCTCTGAACAGGGTCACATTAGAAGGTCCTGGATAGAGTGGGAGAAAAACAGGGAACAGAACTCAAAATCATAAAAGATTAGGCTTACTGGTCAGGTAGAGATTCTGGCCTTCAGGTCTGGAAATGAACTCACCTCTTGACTCAATTTTCAATCAAACAATGCACAGGTCTATAAGGGGAACAATAATACTAAGGAGGATGCACATCTTAGAAGAATCCACCATCTGCAATTGAGACAGCATGTACCCAGTGAAAACTTTCTGAATGGTCAGGGGAGGAGGAATGGAAATAGGAACTATTAAGAGCACATGGGGTAAGTGATGTTTCAATGTGGAGGTTGTAATCAATAATCCGAAACAAAATGCCTATCCATAATTGAATGGAAAACTCAATTCACAATACAAAACTCCACACCACACTCACTGCCACTGAGTTGATGCTGGCTCATTTAGACTGCCCTTGTGGGTTTTGGAAACTGTAACTCTTTACAGGAGTAGAAAGCCTTGTCTTTCTTCCACGGAACTGCTACGGGTTTTGAACTGCTAACTGTGGGGTTAAGGGGGAGAGGGGTCCCCTACAAATCATCACAGGTTCGGTAGGCACAATTGTACAGCGATAATCAGTAAGGATTATAGTAAAGTCAGAGAGCATGAGGTAGATGAGCGATATTACAATAATGCAGTCAGATACATTACATGGTAGCATTGCTCACCTCAGCCCCGCTTGATGGTCCTCGTGGGGGGAACCCAGCCATGAGAGCAGGAGCAGCCTCGGGGACCGAGAACCGGGGAGCCTCTAGGGCCCTGAGAGCCGGAGAGAGCTTCTTCTTTATTGCTAATCAATCATTATATCACTTTAAGGGGACATGATTACAGAATCACACGTCACAGGAAGGGGCAGTACAATAGGCATACACTTTGTAGGAAGGGGATCTATGATAGGTATATGCGTAACAGGAAGGGGATGAGCTAGGGGTGTGTACAATAGGCATACACATTGTAGGAAGGGGATCTATGATAGGCATACGCGTAACAGGAAGGGGATGAGCTAGGGGTGTGCCCATAGGAATGGGAAGGTCTAAGGGTATACATGTGACAAGATGGGCGAACCCTAGATTCACAATGGCAGCCTAAGCTTGGTCATCCTTGGGCGGGCTTGACCTCTCTGGTGTCTCCTACAAGGAAACAGACAACTACTATCCTTATTAGAAGGGAGTGGGCCCTACTTGTTGTGGGATAAACAGTGGTGTCTGCTTGGTTTAGATGGCTGATAGCTCTAAAGGAGAATGACCCCTAATCCACTCCTGATGACCTCCAAGTGTACAGTCATTCTCAAGCAGCTAAGTCTGGCATATATTTGGGGGAGACAACTTGAGAGAAATCCTTCTGTTTCCCACAGCTGACCTTGGGGGTGGCAGCCTGGGCACATAACTACTATGATATCAGAAGTTAAAAATAAGTTCATTAGTTTAAAAACAATTGATCAATCTATCTCATTGTTTACGTAGGAAAAAATCATGTGATCATCTCAATAGATGCACAGTATTTGACCATTTCTAAAATAAACAAAAATTCTCTGCAACATAGTAACAAACACCCTCAACCTGATGAAGACATCTAGGAAAAAACCCAGCAATTAACACCAGAATTCAATGTTGAGTACTTTCCCCTCAGATCAGAAAGACGAGGTTGACTGTTTTGTGTTGTACTATTCCAGGATTTCCCAACCTTGGCCCCAATGACACTTTTGGCGGAATAATCCTTTGACATGGGGCCTGTCATATGCATTGTTGAATGTTTACCAGCATCCCTGGTTTCTCCCCGCTACAAGTCAGCAGCATACTCTCTATTTCTAATCAACATTACCGCAGCCTTTTTTCTCTTTCAGAACGGGACAAGCTATTTCTTATATTACATAGAAATTCAAATCACCTATACTAAAGAACATTTGAAAAAAACAGGCTGAGGTTGGGGGCAGGGCTGGGAGGAAGATGGAGAAAGGGAGAACCAATAGCAATGATGAATGTAAAACACCTCACCCCACCCCCGCCCCTAGGGGGAGGAACAACAGAAACTTGGGATTAAGGGATACAGAGGGCCCTGTAAGGTATATAAAAAACCCCAAACATATACATACATACACATACATATGTATACTTTATCAATGGTTCACGAGGGCAGGAGAGTGGGGAAGAGGGAAAAGTGTGATGATAATAAGGGCTCAAGTAGAAAGACAATGTTTTGAAAATGACGATGGCAACATATGTACAAGTTTGTTTGATATAATTCATCGATGGATTGATATAATATCTGTAAGAGCCCCCAATAAAATGATTCAAATTAAAACATAAAAGAAAAGGTTTATTTTATACTTTATCTATAAAATTATAATCATGAAAACTGTAGAAACGGCATAGAGATCAATAGAACACACCAGAGAACGTAGAGAAAAACATATATGGGCCACTGTTTTTGATGAGAAGGGTAAAATCAATGCAGTGGCAAAAATATGCCTTTTCAACAAATTGTGCATGAACACTTGGTGTTCATATACAAAGAAAGAAAAAGGGCTTGGACTCAAATTTCGAATCATATATAAACTCTAACTCAACATAGATGCTAGATCCTTTGTTTCAGGGATATTAAACGGAGAACCTTAAGAAACAGCAAAGTGAAACCTTCCGCATTCCTAGTCTTCCAGGAAACGCCTTGGCCCCAAGGACTGGCCACGGCCTCAGGCTGCGCAGCGCGGAGGCGTGGCCCAGAGCGCGGGGTTGATCTAAACTCGGCGACCAATCGGACGGCCGCCCCGGTGGGCGGGGCTCCGGGTGGCGGGAGGCTTGAAGAAGCGGGAGACTGGAGCGGCTGAACGCCTGCCGAGGAGGCCCAGCACGGCTGATTTCCGCTCGAGTTTCAGGAGCTGCGGGATCGGAGAGCCGCTCCGCGCTGAGCGCCCGGTAGCAGGTGGACCTGGAAGTCCCTGGCGAGCGCGGCAGGGGAGGGGAAGGTCACTGTGAGGTCCCTGCATTCGGGGTGAGAGGACCCTAACGCACGGCTCTAATCTCAACTAGAGGCTGGTCTTCCCCTTGAACTCAATTTGGCCCTTAAGGTGGAGAGACCTGCGTACCTTTCTAGACTCCCAAGCGCTGTTAATTCCGTTCGAGTTCACTAAGGCGTTCGGCGACCTCCGGGCGCCGGTGACGAAATTGAACTCGTGAGATCCCGTAACTAAGCGTGGCTTAGGTTGTTATCCGGATGCTGGGCACTTTAAGCAAAATTATGTTTTGAGGTTCCTTTTAAAGCTACGAGGATCTGCGATTCTGATTTTCATGACCCCCTCGGTGGAGCTGAGGCTCAACGAAGTTTCCGAATAACTTTAGGAGCATAACTGTTCTCGCTGTTCCAAAGAGGGCTGAGAGATTTCTAAACGTTCTAGCCGATCCGCTAACCACGGCCATCGATTCGGACTCCTGTACGACAGGGTGGACCTGCCCCGGTGGATTTCCGAGGCCGTCTGGGAGCAGGCACCGCCGGCTTTCTGCTCAAAGACCTTCCCTTCTCGCCCTAGGGCTCCGTTGAAACCCGGGGCCGCCGGATTCCGGCAGAGCGCGGAGACGCAGCCGCAGGTCGCGCGCATGCGCAGTGGCGCGCTACGCCTGTGTTTGGGTTCGGAGGTTCCGTCCAGTTCTCCGCGTTCTTCCCGGCCACCCGCGCCCGGCCCCACCCTCCCACCCCAGCACGCGTTCCCATGGCGGCTCCCGGGACGTCTAGTGATCCCATTCTGAAAAGTAAGTAGGGCTGTTCCCTCTCACTGCGTCGGGAATCACCTGAAGAGGGCTAGGGGGTGTGGGGAGGAGGTCGGGGTAGAGGGTCGCACACCGGAAGCCCTTCCCAGGGATTTGAATTTGTGGAATTCGGGCTGCCCATTCACATTTTGAGCCGAGGGTCCACGACTACCCGTGCGATGGGACCTCTTGTGGAGCCGCTGGGACCGGTTTGCTGTCCCCGCCGAGGGGCTGCCCGAGCTGGGTCGCGTTGGCACGTGCTTCGCGTGGAAGACACTCGCAGTGAAACCACTCCTCGGACCCCGGGTCCAGAACGGCGTCTGACCGAAAATGGGGTGCCCTGCGGAGCTAGAAATTCTGGTGTTACTCTGGGTTGGGAGCCACCTGTCTCTGGGGTCTGGTTTTAAATAATTGCCCAGGTGTTGTGTTTTCTTCCACCTCTGCGGCCTGGGTGAAGCTGGAGAGCTCTGGAGAAAAGATAGGTTCAGCATTATCGTTTGGAGAAGGAGGTAGGGTGAAAACAGACGTCGGTTTCGACCCTTTTTTGAATGTAGAGGCATAGAGCAGCAGTGGAATTCAAAACAAATGATCAGCTGTTCTACCTACATTTGTATTTATCATTGTATATGAGCTGGATACGTTCTCTTTTTTTGATTATTAGATATTCTTCATTTTTAAAAATCATTTTATTAGGGGCTCATACAACTCTTATCACAATCCATACATATATCAGTTGTATCAAGCACATTTGTACATGTTGCCATCATCACTCTCAAAACACCTGCTTTTTACTAGAGCTCTAGGTATCAGCTCTTCATTTATCCCCCTCCCTCCCCACTCCCCCCTCTCCCCCTGAACCCTTGATAATTTATAAATTATTATTATTTTGTCATATCTTACACCATCCGGCGTCTCCCCTCACCCACTTCTCCACTGCCCGTCCCCCAGGGAGGAGGTTATATGTAGACCTTATAATCTGTTCCCCCTTTATACCCCACCCTTCCTTCCACCCTCCAGTATTGCCACTCTCACCACTAGTCCTGAGGGGTTCATCTGTCCTGGATTCCCTGTATTTCCAGTTTCTATCTGTGCCAGTGTACATCCTCCGGTGCTGGATAAGTTCTTAGTGGGTCTTTAAAGTCAACTTGTAGGGAAGTCAGTTGGTACAGGAACATAGGGTTTTTATTTAGCCAACTTAATGCCAGAAAAGACTTACGTGCGGCAAGTGAAAATGATAGTGACAACTAGAGGTTGGTTGGTTCAAGAGCCATGTTGGCGCAGTGGTTAAAGCGCTCGCCTACCAACTGAAGGGCCCAGAGTTTTAACCTTCAGCCATGCAACAGCAGCAGCAGCAGAAACATGTGACCGTCTGCTTCCATAGAGATATACAGCCTTGGAACCAAATCCTCTGGGGCAGTTGTATTCTGACTTGTATGTAGGGGTTGGTTCAGTTGTTTCAAAAACCAAACCAAACTCGTTGCTGTCAGATGGATTGTGACTTAGACTGTAAATCTTTAGAGGGGCAGGCAGCCTCGTCTTTTTCCCTTTGAGCAGCTGGTAGGGCATAGTGGGATTATAACCACATGTATATTTTTGTTAGGTGCTTTCCAATCCTTTCCGACTCGGCGATTCTATGTACAGCAGTATGAAACTCTGTCCAGTTCTGGGCCATCTTCTTAATTGCTGCTTGAGACTATTGTTGAAGCCAGCGTGTCAGTCTGTCTTGTTGAGTGTCTTCCTCTTTTTTGCTGACCCTTTACTCTACCAAGCATGATGTCCTTCTCCAGGAATTGCACCTTCCTGATAACATGCCCAACGTATTTGAGGTAAAATCTTGCCAACCTTACTTTTAGGGATCATTTTGGCTGTGTTGTTCATGTTTTTCAACAATAGTTTTTCTTGGTTCTTCCATGCTCATTGTCCAATTGTCATGTTACAAAAACTCCTTGACTTAGGTCAAGTTCACTTTCGTTTTCAAGTGACATCTTTGTTCTTCAACATTTTAAAGAGATCTGAGATGTAGCCATATAATGTGGCCCTTCTAGCCATAATTGCTCATGCTAGTGGTTCTCAACCTTCCTAACGCCGTGACCCTTTAATACAGTTCCTCATGTTGTGGTGACCCCCCAACCATAAAGTTATTTTCAGTGCTACTTCATAACTGTCATGTTGCTACTGTTATCGGTGACTCCTGCGAAAGGGTCGCTTAACCTCCAAAGGGGTCTCGACCTACAGGTTGAGATCCGCTGGCTTATGCCATTTATTATAATTCTGGTCTCTATGCCTGTCGTTATAATTCCATTTTAAAAGGGAATTCTCAGCTATAAGAATAGACAGGATTAAGTCCTGAATTTAGAAGAGGATGGAGGCCTCGTGGGATAGTGGTTACGGATTGGGCTGCTAACTGCAAGGTTGGTAGTTCAAAACCCCACTAGCCACCCCACAGGAGAAAGTGGGGGCTTTTTACTCCTGTAAAGAATTGCAGTTGCAGAAACTCACAGGGCCATTCCACCCTGCCCTATATGCTTGCTATGAGTCGGCATTAACTTGATGGCAGTGTGTTTGGTGTTTTGGTTTTAGTAGAGGGTATGAACCAAGTCACACCCTTTGTTTCTTTGGGGATACAGTCTGCTAAACGAAAAAAAAAAAAAAACACATCCATAAGGACAGTTGTGAGAGTGGCATTGTGAGGGTGGCAACAGGACCAGGCAGTGTTCTGTTCTGTTGGACATGGGGTTGCTGTGAGTTGGAGCGGACTCCAGGGCACCTAACCACTAGGACACCTCCATCAAAGCCGTTCCTGACGTAGAAGAGCCATCTCAAGCAGAGAGAGCGCAGGACCACGTCACAAAATGTTCCAGGCATCTGTCTAAAGTGGCAAAGGCGGAGACCAGAGACTCCAGAGACTATGGCACGGAGGCCACCGGACAGAACCATAGGAGCAGCAATGAGATTTTGGGACTGAGATAGAGTGACAGGTGGCCATCTTGGTCCATGGCACCAGAAGCCAAGGGGCCCACTTGGCTGAGAGACTCAGGACTAGAAGAGTCTTGACTGCTGGCTGGGAAGAGGTGTTGCTCTCCAAACCAGTGACTGTATCCTCACTGTTTACTGATTCTGACTTGTGGTACCTTACTAACTTCCCTAATAAACTTTGATGGTTGTGAGTATTTGGAGGAATTTTAACTTTCCTTTTTCATATGAATGAAATGAGAAAAATCATGAAATCTTTGAGGGGTACTGAAAATGCAAATATGTATTTTGTGTTAATGTCTTGTTTATTTTCAGATGTAGTGGCATATGTTGAAGTATGGTCATCCAATGGAACAGAAAATTATTCCAAGACATTTACAAACCAACTTGTGGATATGGGGGCAAAGGTAGGGAATTCCTTATGCCTTTGATTACGTATGACAATTCTGAGATATATAATGAGGTCTATTTGTATTTTCTTTCTTTTTTTAAATCGCTTTATTATCACATGCCATACATACATCAGTTGTGTAAAGCACATTTGTACATTCATTGCCCTCATCATTCTCAAAACATTTGCTCCCCACTTAAGCCCCTGGCATCAGCTCCTCATTTTTCCCCCTCCCTCCCCGCTCCCCTCTCCCTCATGAACCCTTGATAATTTATAAATTATTATTTTGTTATATCTTGCCCTGTCTGACATTTCCCTTCACCCACTTTTCTGTTGTCCATCCCCCAGGGAGGAGGTCACATGTAGATCCTTGTAATCGGTTCCCCCTTTCCAACCCACCCTCTCTCTACCCTCCCAGTATCGCCACTCATACCACTGGTCCTGAAGGAATCATCCACCCTGGATTCCCTGTGTTTCCAGTTCCTATCTGTACCAATGTACATCCTCTGGTCTAGCCAGACTTGCAAGGTACAATTCGGATCATGATGTGGGGTGGAGTTGGGGGAGGAAGCATCTAGGAACTAGAGGAAAGGTACATCGCACCCTGGCAGGCTGGTCTCCTCCCCAAGATCCTTCTGTAAGGGGATGTCCAGTGCCCTACAAATGGGCTTTGGGTCTCCACTCCGCACTCCCCCCCTCATTCAGTATGATAAGATTTTTTTGTTCTGATGATGTCTGATACCTGATCCCTTCGACACCTCGTGATCGCACAGGCTGGTGTGCTTCTTCCATGTGGACTTTGTTGCTTCTGAGCTAGATGACCGCTTGTTTACCTTATTTGTATTTTCTTATTTGGGGAATTATTACTTAGAAAATGAAGGACAGAAGCTTTAGCTAGTGTAATAGGTGAGGTCACAAAAGAAAAGTTTGGGAACATTAATAAATTACAACAGTAGGATTTACAGAACAGTTTGTCTTATAGATGATGTGAGAGAAAGTGGCATAGGATAAAAATCGAGATTCTGATATAGTATCAGAAGATGAATCTCTCAGGATGGAAGGTGCTCAAAATACAAATGGGGATGAGCTGCCCAGACAGTGGCTGTAATAATAAATGTACACTCAGAATTACCTGGCTGCTCAGTGCTGTTAATCAAAGTGAGGAATGCAGGAGGAGAAACAACAGCTAAGACAACAGCAAACCCACTGCCATTGAGTCTTTACTTATTTATAGTGACTACATTGGGTTTGTGAGGTTTTGTAAATCTCTATGTGAACAGATAGCCTCATTTTTCTCCCAAGGAGTAGCTGATGGGTTTGAACTCTGGGCCTCATGGTTAGTAGTCCAGTGCTTAAGCAACAGCTTCATGAGGGTTCCTTCAGGGAAAGATGGCAAATTTTAAATACCTGGCTCTTAGAGAAATAGTTCTTTTAGCCATGAACGTGTGTGTGGTTTTTTTTTTACATTTGGGGGAGGATGAGTGAATAGTGAAAGGGAGTTGGTTGTTCCGTGCTTTTGGGTTGGTTCTAACTCAGCAACTCTGCACACAAAAGGAGCTCCCATCATCACGTGTTGCTCTGTGGAGCTCATTGTCACAGCCGCTGTGTAGACAGCTCTGCCCCCATTTGTAATTCGAGTACCTCCCATCATGAGAGACTCATCTTCTGATACTGTAGCAGACGATATTCTGTACTGGTCATAATGTGTTCACTGTTCATATTTTTAGAAGTAGGTCCTTCTTCTGAGGTTGTCTTTGTCTGGATACTTTGCTGAAACCTGCCCACCATGGGTGAACCTGCAGCTGTATGAAACGGAATTTCATATACTGCAGTGACCTAGCTAGCTTTCAGCAATATGAATGCCTCCGCAGTAGGACCGACTGATAGACTAGGTAGGGGTGGTGGGACCTGGGTAAGGTAAGACACCGATGTCAAATTCAAGGAGACAGTCCCTCTCAGGTTTGAGAGTAAATGCTTCATGAAATTTTGCATGCCCTCATCAAAGACTGAGTAGGCTCAAAATCACAGCCTTCAGGTTGTTGCTGACTCATCGACCCTGTAGGACAGTGTAGAACTGCCCCTGTGAGTTTCCAAGACCCTGACTCTATGGGAGTAGAAAGCCTTGTATTTCTTCTTCTGAGTGGCTGTTGGTTTCTATCTACGAACTTTGCTGAGTGGATTGCAGCCCAGTGTGTTACCACTATGCCACCAGAGTTCAAGAAGAGAGGAACTAGAATATGCTTGTACATGGAGGGATTCGTTTTGGACCTAGAAAACAAAAACTCAAGCCCCTTGTCATCTGATTGATTCTGACTCAGAGACGCTGTAGGACAGGGGAGAACTGGCCCTGTGAGTTTCACAGGCTATAATCCTTAAGCAGAGGAAAAAGCCCATACTTGCCCTTGCAAAATAGCTAGTGGTTTCCTAACTGCAGACCATGAAATATGAAACCTGAGAGGATTTCCATTTTATACCCTGGTGGCATAGTGATTGCATGTTGGGCTACTAGCCCATAAGATCAGCAGTTCAAAACCACCAGCCACTTCTCTAGAGAAATATAAGGCTTTCTACTCCCTTAAAGAGTTAGTCTCAGAAACACACAAGGGGGCAGTTCTACCCTGTCTTGTAGGGTCGCTGAGTCAGAATTGACTCGGTGGCAATGAGTTTGGTTTTATGTTCTTGGGATGTTATTGCTTTTGTTCACTATGGTGGAGTCAGCCCAGTGCCACATTGGTGACCCCTTAGTAAAACTCTTTCCCTGAGTTTTCTGGTTCTAATTTATATATATAGAAGTGGTCTGGAAGGAGAACTGGTGGTATAGTAGTTACTCCTTTGGCTGCGATGCGAAAGGTTTGAAACTTCCATTTGCTCCTTAGGAGAAAGACCGAAAGACGAGGCTTTCTACTCATGCAAGCATCACAGTCCCAGAAACTCAGAGAGCACTTCTGCCCTGTCCTGTAGAGCTGCTATGAGTCTCCATTGACTTGGTGGCAGTGAGTTTGGTTTTTGGTTTTCCGGGTGTCCTAGGACTTTTCTTCTGCTGAGCTACCAACTGGGCTCAAACCACCAACTTCTAGCACATCAGCTGGATCTAATGTTCTTTTTCCCACTCAGATTCCTTACATTTGGAATGCTGCTGTTATTAGGTGTAGGGGTTACCTGTTGGGCTTCATAGAAGAGTTACGTACAGTCTCTTAGAAATTAATAAGGGATCACTGCCTTTCAACCTTCTAGTTGTTCCTTCACCTTCCCTTCCCTGCCCTCCCTACCTTGGGAACCTCCAAAGTCTTTTCCCTTTGGTACGCAAGTCTTTGTCTTGGATTCTTTCCTTTTGTAGTGGTAATACTACAAAACCCCATGCTTTTGGGATTTCGATACACTGATGTTCTTCAGTTCCATCCATGTCATAAGGTTCTTTGTGGCTTTCTCTTGTTTTTTAACAATGCATTGTGGGTATGTACCCAAGTTTCCTTATACATTCTTCTACTGATGGGCATTTGGGCTGTTGCCAACTTCTTGCTATTGTGCACAGTGCTATGGTGGACTTGAGAGTGCTTTATCTGTTTTAAAGTATGTACTCACTAGAAGTATTGCTGTCCTCATTAGAAGTATGTCATTTCTATTTCCACTTGCTTGTGCTAGCACTGTATCTCCACAATGGTTGTACACCTTTGAGAGAATTTGAATTTTCGTCATGTTTAGGCATAATCCAGACCGAAGGTTACAGTCTTTGGCCTTCACTGGTAAATGCTAAAGTCATCTTCATTTTTATCAAGCAAGGTTGGGTCATCTGTGTATCTCAGGTGTTAAGGAGTCTTTCTCCAGTGGTGATGCTATTTTCTTCTTCGTATAGTGGAGCTGCTCAGATTATTTATTTAGCAAATAGGTTGAATAAGTATGGTGAAAGGATATACCCAGCCCCACATATTTTCTTGTAAATCTTGATACATTTTCAGTTTGTTTTTCAGGGTGTCTTATCTTTCTTAGTCCTTTGCTTTCTTAGATGCAATTTGGAATCAGCTTTCTGAATTAACACCAAAAACATTTTGGGAGTTTGATTGGGATTGGATTGATGGCTGGATCAGCGAAGGAGAATGACCACATTTACAGTATTGACTTTCCAGACCATGAACATTATATGTGCCTTTGTTGATTTGTTGTTGATAGGTGCCACCAAGTTGGTTCCTAACCATAGTGACTTTGTGCACAATAGAGCAAAACACCGCCTGGTCCTGCATCATCCTCACAACAAAGTGTCCCTAGCTTGAGCTCATTGCTACAGCCATGGTGTCAGTCCCTCTTGTGGAGAGCCTTCCTCTTTTTCACTGCCGCTCTACTTTCGCAAACATAATGTCTTTCTTTCTGTGGGGTCTGGTCTCGCCTGACAACATTTCCAAAGTATGTAAGATAAAATCTTGCCATCTTTGCCTCTAACTAGCACTCTGGCTGTAATTCTTCAAAGACAGATGGGTTTGTTCTTTTAGTAGTCCATGGTACTTTCAATATTCTTCTCCAACCCGAGAATTCAAATGCATCAATTCTTCTTAGGTCTTCCTTATTCAGTGTCCAACTTTCACATGCATATGAGGCAACTTAAAATACCATGGCTTGGGCCAGATGCACCTTAGTCCTCAAAGTTACGTCTTTGCTTTTCAATACTCTAAAGAGGTCTTGTGCAGCTGATTTACCTAATGCAGCACACAGTTTGGTATCTTGACTGATGCTTCCATGATCATTGGTTGTGAATCCAAGCAAGACAGAATCCTTGACAAATATTTTCTCCATTCATCCAGATGGTCCATTCATACCTGTTGGTCCATTTGTGAGGATTTTGGTCTTCCTTACATTGAGCTGTTGATTTAGGTTTCTTTAATTTTTTTTGAAGATTTTAATGCTATTATAAATGGACTCTGTAGTATTTTATTTCTAACTTGTTGGTTTATAGAGACACAGTTAAACTTTGTATATTCACCTTTTGCCTAACTAACTTGTCAAATTCACTTCCAACTCTAGTATATTTTTTAGTGTACATAATTGAATCATGTACTTAAGAACAGTGTTATTTTTTTACTTCCCTGATCATTTTAATTGATAAAATTGTACCAGCTAGGACCTGTATTGAGTTTTTATCTTGATTTGTCTCAGAGGGGAAAACTTCTAGTATTTCACTTGATGGGTTTATAGTTACCAACCTTCAGATACTAATTTGCTGAGAGTTTGCATCATGAATAAACTTTTGAGTTTCATCATACATGTTTTGTACATCTATTCAGTTGATCATGGGTGTTTTTCTCTTCTGTTGTGAGTCATAATGGCATTTTGTGTCTGAATGTTAATTAACTTTGCAGGCTTGGACTGAACTCAAGTTGTGGTGATGCGTTATTCTTTTACATATTGTTGATGATGACATTTGTTTAGGATTTTTCAGATGTTGCCAGAGGTCAGACTGGCATCTTCCATGTGCTTCAGCTATGGGTCTTTAGCATTAGTGATGTGCTGTTTCCTGAACCTCACTGGAGAGTAGTCAAACTCTCTTTCTAAATCATCCATACTTGATGTTATTTCTCCTGTAAATGTTTGGCATAATTTTGTTTATACTAGAAATAAAAGAAAAAAAGCATGGGAAACTAGTCCTGGAGTTTTGTTTGTAGGAAGATTTTTGTTTATTTTTAGTTAGAGACAATTTATTTGATGATTGTAGTAATATTAAGATCTATTTCTTAGTGTTTTTAGAAAGTTGAGATTCTTTTTGACAAACTTGTTCATCTAAAGTTTTGAAGTTATTGGTATAGAATTCTGTTAGGCTCTTCTGTTGACTTCAGGAGCTCTAGTAATGACCTCCTTTTCATTTTCGATACTAGCGATTTGTGCCTTTTTTCCCTTTTGTCTCTTAATATTCTTTCTAATTTAGAGGCAAAGGATAACATTTCTCTCCAATTCCTAATGAGAACCATGAAATAATCTGTCTTTTAGAGGATTCAGTTTCTCAGGATGTCTTTAATGCCGCCTATGAGGATACCAATGGTGTTTCGTAGTAAAGAACATTTTGCTCAGTTGTCCTATCATAGATCCTTGCTCAAGGGGCTGATCTTTCTCTTCTAATTGGGTTTTCAGCACATGGTCACGTGTTTCTTCAGCATTATGTACAGGATCTGTCCGAGGGATATGTTTTGTGAGTTCATCTGAATGTTCACAGAAGAGTGGTAGTATACTAGTGTCCAGCTGCCTGATGTCAAAGCATGCTCTACCGTGCAGTTATAGTCATCTGGGAGAGAATGTGTAGATTAATGACAAATGCTGTATAAAACTCAATTTCAAATTGGAAAGAAATATTTCAGGACAGTTCTGTTTGATCATGTCCACTTTACAGCTGCTACTGCCATGGTGGACCAGACATGAGTATCAGCTGGTATAGCAAAAGATGTTACAAAGAGAAACTGTTTTTAAAATCTGCTTCTAGGCACATCTGTTTTCATCCTCGACAGGGGCTTAGGTGAAACCGTTATCTTGGCTCCTTGTGAATATTTCCTTATGACAGATTATGAAAAATGGAATTGTTGGAATAGGGTTTTGAGTGTTTTTCCCCCATCGTACACATTTTTAAAAATTAGTATTATTGACATATAATTCCCATATCTTACAATTCAATAGTTCAATCATATTAAAAAGAGTTGTGAAATAGCAAAACCCATTTTATGCCATTTACTTCTTTCTAGTACTCATTGTTAGCTCCCCATTTCCTCCCAGCCACTTCTTCTTTGCCCCTAGGTAATTATTATTTTTTACCCAACAATTTTATTGGCACATCATTTACATGTCATATAATTCAGTAGTTCCGTTTTTCAATCAAGTCAGAGAGACTTTTAGAATCATCACATCAATTTTAAAGCACCCCCCACCCATGGTTAAATTGCCTTTAAAATGAGTTGTGCAATCACAGTTCATTCTAGTGCCCCTTGCCCCACTCCTGTCTTAATTGTTAACTCCCCAAATCCCCTTTCCCTCCCTATCACCCATCCTCTATTCCTGTATCCCTTGTAACCTCTTGTATCAGTTATTATCATTATGTATATACTTCTCCTGTGCATCACAACTAGGAAAACCAATGGAAAACAATAAAAAAATTTGACTAAGTTGGTAAGGATAAAATTATAATAGCATAATGACAAAAATACAAATAGTGCATAAAAAGGAAAAGACGCCCACCAGCCTTAAAAAAGTCCGAGAAGAAATTTCTGTCATGGAACAAGTTAGAGATACTTGCACCCAGAACAAATTCAGGTAGCTGCAGTCTATAGGGAGGTCAGCTGGCCAAGTATCGAATTTAATCTAGTGTAATCAAGATTATAGTGGTTTCTGGGTTTGGGGCTCCCACTGTCCTCCATAGCATTTTACAAATTGTGTGTTCATAATTTTAGCTCAGATACTGTTCCCTTTGTCATATTCTAATTGTATAATTGCCATCTTTGGATCACACAACCTGGTGTGCTTTTTCCATGTGGTCTTAGTTGACCCCTCACTTAGATGACTGCTTGTTTGAATATAAGCCTTTCAGACCCCAGACACTATGCCAATTGTTAGCTGGGCACCATCTGCTTTCTTTTGCACACTTTGCTGTAGCACCCTGATTTTCATTGACATTTCATGAAGGGATCAAGCAGTACTATGTGATCAGAACTGAATGTTTTTGAATTGGGGGTAGAATTAAGTAGGAGCCCAGACTCCATCTGCTTGTGCATGCAGTTTTCACGTCTCAAGCTTACTTTGGCAGTCATACCATATGATAAAATCAAAACCCTGTAAGACCAACTGCCTCAATAGCAACTATAAGCCAACCAGCAACTAAACAAACAGAACACACATACCGAAAAAGAAAGTAAGCTACCAGCAAGAAAGCAAAAACGCATATAAACAAAGAAGTACAGCATTGCCAATTACCCCCACCCCCCGGGGTATAAGTTGATTGCACTACTGTCATCATCAATTTTCCCACTGTCCCAGCACTCCAGACACTGTTGGTATGCGTCTATGCAACCCAGGAGTTTTGTCCTACACAGTTTGATCTCATTTGATTGGGCTCTATTGACCCCGTGTGTGGGGATTGATGCCAGGGGGACATAGTATACATTTAAAAAACAATAATGTTCTATTGCGTTTTCAGTAAAAGTTTACACAGCAGATTAGATTTTCATTTAATAAATTCTATACAACTTGTTCAGTGACATGGTTTACACTTTTACAAATCCAAAGTAAAGGAAAAAGTAGAATAAATCAGGAATGAGTTAAAAGGGAAAAGAAATGATAAATGTTCAATTTTAACCTATCTCTAGAATAACTCACTTTCTGATACAGTCTGTCTGTGGGCAGAGTTTTTCCCAACCCTGGTTAATGGTCTGAGGATCTTCAATGGAGGGTTATTCCTCCCTTATGGGGTCTCTGCAAATGGATTTGGGCTTTCACTGTCATCCGTAGCTTTCTGTAAACTGAATTGAGTATTTTATTTGGATGAATATTAAAAAAGGATCTTTTTGATCAGTTGTACATATGAAATTGTGTGTGAATAGTGATTACTCACATTTTTTCGTTCTGCATTTTGTTTGCAGGTTTCAAAAACTTTTAACAAACAAGTGACCCATGTTGTATTCAAAGATGGCTACCAAAGCACTTGGGACAAGGCACAGAAGAGAGGAATAAAGCTTGTTTCGGTGCTCTGGGTTGAAAAGTAAGTTTCTTTTTCTTAAATATTGAGTGTTTATAAGATGTGAAGTTATTTTGTATGGACTTCAGATCCAAATAAAGTTTCCATCTTCACCTCTAACTTGGGTAGGTAACTGCAAATCTGTTTGCCTCAAATCCCTCAACTGAAAAATAGATATAAAAATATAATACTAAAGCCTCTGATTACAGGGAGAATACACATGAAGGCCTAAAGGCAGGATATGCTGTCATCTTCAGGAAACACTAAGGAAGTCAAAGTGTCTAAGGGAAGATAGGTTGGAGAGTGGGGTCAGAGAAGTAGTGAGAGGCTAGATTATAGAGATCTGTTAGGATGTGAAGTGAAGAGTGTACGTACCATGAAGGGATTAGAGACAAAAGCAGAAGTAGAGGGAGTAATTATGTGACCGTAGTGTTTCTAGGGTAGTGAGAAATGGTCAGATTCTGAATATGTTTTTGAACGTAGTACCCAAATAGATTTCCTGAGTATTTGGATGTGAATTGTGTTGAAAGGGATGAGTTGAGTAGGACTGCAGGGTTTTGGGTCTAAACACCAGGAAGATGGGAAGGCTTCGTAAGGATTAACATTTTTTTTGGGTGGGGAGGGGATGAGACAAATCAGGAGTTCAGCTTTGGACATATTGGCTTTAAGATACCTGTTAAACATCCATGTGGTGTCAAGTAGGCAATTTGGTAAATGATTTAGAGTTGAGAGATAGGTCTAGGTTGAAGATAAAAATGTGTCACAGGCAGATAGATGTGCTACTTAAAGTCACACAATTGGATTAAATCTTTTAGGGAGTGAATATAGAGGGGAAGATGTTCCATGATGAAATGCAGAGTTGGAAGAAGAACTGGTAAACTAGACGGAGAAGGAACAGATTGAAGAAGGGGGAGAAGAATAAAACCAAACTCCCCACCTGTGTTAGTCCGGGTTGACTAGAGAAACAAATTCAGAGACACTCGTGTGTAAGAGAGAACTTTATATCAAAGAGCAATTGTACATGAAGAAAACATCCCAGTCCAGTCCAGATCAAGTCTTTAAGTCCGATATTACCCCATATGTCGATACTAGTCCATAAATTCCTCTTTAGACTCATGCAGCCATGCAATGACACCGAATGCTGGAAGACACAGGCCAGTGAGTGGAAAGTGTTTGGGATCCAGTGGTGATGGAAGCATCTTAGTGCTGGTGTGGGTCTGCATGTGGCTCCTCCAGCTCCAGGGCTCTGCCTCTATCAGCGCAGCTCCATGTGTCTTGTCCGCAGGAATGTCTTGCAAGGAGACAAGCAGAGAGAGTGCATGTATCTGGCCTCCAGTGAACTATTATCTCCAAATGAGGTCATCAAGCTCCAACCTGATTGACAGGCTAGACTCCACCCCATCGCAACTTGACAGGAAATTACACATGTAACTGCCACACCTCCATAAATCAGTTCTAACTCATAGTGAGAGTAGAACTCCCCCTGTGGGTTTCTGAGGCTATAAATCTTAATGGGAACAGAAGTGGGAACATTTTAACTCTTGCAAACCTGTGTCTTTCCCTGCCTCATATTTTTACTTCAGTGCAGCTGGTGGATTTGAACCACCAACCTTGTGGTTAGCAATCCATTGCATAACCCACTATGCCACTGGGGCCTCTTGTAGGAAGAGTAGGGTTTTAGTGAAGAAAGTTTCTTTTTCAAGGAAGTGATGATAATGATGAACTATTATACTTAAGTACTCTTTAAGTACAAAGAGTATTTAAATGGGTTTAGTAAAACGAGATGTAAGAGATTACCACTGGATTTGGCAACATAGAGGTCATTGGGGTCAACTAACTGGTAAATTAGTGGGAGCCAAAGATATTGGAGTAAGTTTAATAAAAGTTAAGGATCAGTGAGCTGTAAACTGTGTATATAGACAGATCTTTACTGGAGAACAGAGCAATGGGGCAGGATTTGTAAAGGAGATGTGCAGTGGAGATTTAAGATGGGAGAAATGATAGCATATTGGTATGCTCACAGAGCAGATCTAGTGGAGGGAACTTTTAGCGGTTCAGAATAAAGGAGAAATTTGCTTGCCTAGCTTAAAGGGATTGAGGAATTCTTCTAGGAAACAAGCAGATATATGAGGAGGGCTTCAAAAAGTTTATGGAAAATTGAATGAAGTGACAAGGAATGATGTTTCAATGAACTTTTTAAAGCCCACTTGTATAGGACCAAAGACAAAGCTGTCACATTAGTATAAGGAGTTTGGAATGTATAGGTACCAAACCAAATACTGAACTCACTGCCATCAGGTCAATTCTGTCTCATGGCGATCCTATAGGACAGGGTAGAACTGCCCCTGTGAGTTTCTGAGACTGCAGCCTTTTATGGGAGTAGATAGCCTAATTTCTCCCATGGAGTGATTGGTGGTTTCAAACTGCTAACCTCACTATTAGTAGCCCAACACATAACCATTACCCACCAGGATTCCTCATTGATAGGGACCTGTTAATGAAACAGGTGTGGTGTGGAGGACAGACATTGTGAGAAGTCTTGTCTGCTTTCCGAAACGAAGATTATCTGAGAATGAGAATGGATAGGGAATAGGTTTAAGGGGAGTATTGAGGTTTAAAGAGAATAGGCAAAATAATTGTCTAGGAACAAGTGAGAGTAAGTGGATTAGAAAAATTTAATAGAATTCCTGGAAGGAGCCCTGGTGGCGTAATGGGTTATGTGTTGGGTTGCTAAGTGCAAGGTCAGCAGTTCAAAACTACCCGCAGCTCTGTGGGAGAAAGATGAGGCTTTCTACTCCCATAAAGAGTTACTGTTTAGGAAATTCACAAGAGCAGTTCTACCCTGTCTTATAAGGTCACTATGAATCAGCAACGACTTGATGGCAAAGTGTGTGTGTGTGTGTGTGTGTGTGTGTGTGTGTGTTTTAAGAACTATAGTCTTGGAAAAAGACAGGAGCAGTTCTACCTGTTTTGTTAGTCTCAGAAACCCATTGGAGCAGTCCAGCCTATCTTGTAGGGTCACTATGAGTTTGAATCTACTCAAAGGCAATGCGTTTTTTGAGGGAATGGGTCAGTTATTTTGAAGTGGATGACAAATTTACATAACAGTGCAGAAGGCTTTGAATGTTTGTGGCTAGGCACAGTCCTGCTTATAATCTAATCTCAATCCAAGCTCCTGAAAGGGCTCCTTTGACCTCTTCCAAGTCTTTCATTCCAGAGCTTTGACCTGTAATACTTCCTATTCCACTTAACTGTGACCAATTGCCAAAATTGTAAGACTTCAGCTGTTCCTTTTTGTTCAAACCTACCAGTTGCTTCGCAAGAGAAAGATGAATCTGACTGCTGCCTTAAAAGTTTACTGTCTAGAAACCCAAAGAAGCAGTTCTGTGTGCTTTTGTTTTTTACTGAATGGCTATGGGTTTGGTTTGGTAGGGAAGCCATGTGCACCCCTGAGCTTAGAGTTGGTACACTTACCTAGTATTGGGCAGCTGGGCTAAGAAAGAGGGGTTGTATGAAAAGCTGGGTCTGAGGTAAACAGGAAAGGAAAGGACATAGGTGGAGTGTGGATTGTGGAGGAGCATGAGGCTTTCTCTTTCTATAAAGAGTTACCAGTGTCAGGAACTCACAAGGGCTGTTCTGTTCTGCCCTAGGAGTCAGAATCAACTCACCAGCAATACGTTTTTATGTTTTGTTTTGTTTTGTTTTTAAATCTTGTGTTGGTTATTTGAGGGTTTGCCTGTGCACATAAGCTTTCGAACCAGTTTGTTACTATTCAAAAAGGCGTTTTCAAGGATTTTAATTGGGGTTGTAATGCATATATAGATCATTTATGTAGGTCTATGGGATTTCAGAAAGTTTGTGGGGAAATAGAACGAAATTTTTTGAAACACCCTTTTTTGGTTATAAGTTGTTTTTATAGTTATTTATCAAATTGAGGAACTCACCTTCTATTCATAGTTTGTTGACAATTTTTATCATGAATGAGTGGTGGATTTTGTCGAAGCTTTTTCTATATCTATTGATATAATCATAGGTTTTATTCTTTAGTCTGTTGACATGGTGCCTGGTGTGATAGTAAGGTAATCCTGGCCTTATCGAGTGAGTTATGACGTATTCTATGCGCTTCTGTTTTCTGGAAGGTTATTGAGAATTGGTATCATTCTTTTTAAATGTTTGATGGAGTTTACCAGTGAAAGTATCTGGCCTTGTACTTTCTGTTTTGGAAGGTCTTAAATTATTGGTTCTAGTTCCTTAGGAATGTAGACCAATTCAGCTTATCAATTTTACTTTGTGACTTTTGTTACTTTGCGATCCTCAAGGAATTGATAAATTTTATCTAAGTGTGCAAATGTGTGTGCGTAGAATTTTTCCTGATAGCCTTTTCTTTTCCATGGAGTCAGTAGTGATGGCTCTTCTTTCATTTCGGGTATTAGAAATTTGTGTCTCAACTGTTTTTGATCTTGTTTTAGTGATATTTTCCAAGAACCAATTTTTATTTTCATTGATTTTCTCTTATCACTTTCCTGTTTTCAATTTCACTGATTACTGCTCTAATTCTTATAATTTTGTATCTTCTGCTTACTTTGAATTACATATGCTCTATCTTTTTCGTTTTTCCTAAGGTAGAAACTTCAATTGTTGATTTTAGCTCTTTATTTCCAGTATGTTATATATACGCTTATTTCCCCTTAAGCAGTTTTCCCTGCATTTCACAAATTTTGTATTTGTATTTTCATTTAGTTCAAACTATTTTTCAATTTGAGACTTCTTCTTTGACCTATGTATTATTTAAAAGTGTGTTTATGTTTAGAATTGTATTTAATCTCCAAATTGATAGAAAAAGAGATCAGCCAGAGCACAGATATCAAGAAACAGGCTTTGTTGGGAAGCACAGTCTGCTGGGCTTCTCCAGAGTGGAGAAGCCCCCATACAAAGAAATAGCTGGTGTGTGTACACACACACACACACACACACACATATACATCTACATACACACACATATATATACACACATACATATATAC